TGCCTACTTACATGATTGAAGAAAATAGACCACATTGGTGAAACGGGTCGGACATCAAACAAAATAGAAGGGTATTTTAGGGGAATTCTTTGGGCGAGCATAGTCAGCCCAATCTATGACCAGCATGTCTAATCATATAGAGTCTAACCCCACTATCAGATGAGGAAGTAATGACAAGATGTATCATTGTCAACAAGGCAGATGACAGTTAGCCACTCAAGGTGATGCAAAAATAAGGAGTGTGCCGAGGCTCAAATAGTTCATTGATGCATGCACTTCGACCTTGAATGCAGGCTCTGTAGCTGCTAGTGGCGGATTTCGACGCAGCTTAAAACCACCCGATGATGGCGGGAATGATGAAGAAAATCACCTACTGGACACTGTTCTTGAAGCTACATCTGTCGTCCTTTCGGTTAATCACCAAACTGTTAACAATTTAGTAATTTTCACCAATCTTTCCGTCAGCTCACTCAAAGAGCAGCCGAGGGTTTTTGTCGATGCTATCTTAAAAGATCAGTTCATATAAAAGCGAAATCAGTGCAGTTGCTCAAGAATGCCAATCTGGTTTGCGCTAAGTTAAATACTAGTTTCAGTTAGTCCCCACGCCAGTCCTGTCAGACATCGACCGACGCTGTTCCTTGCGGCTTTCTTAAGGATCGATGTCTGGAAAAGCGGAATTAACTCAACCTCCACAAACCTTTACATTAGTGAAAAAATGCACGTAGATTACCCGGGCGTGTTGACACAATTTCAATATAAATGACTAAATCGAACTCGTACCTTCGAAGCTCTAAAACACTAATTACTTGAAGTAGTTTTGTATAGGGATTCGAATAATTCTTTTAGGTAGCATATATATATGCAACAGGCAGCAAATTGATAAATAAACATATACTTTTGCGTTACCCTCATTTTCCGCGTAATCTGGCTCGATATAATAAACGTAGATGCCGCAAACGCTATAAAATGTTTTAAAAATATGATCTTATCAGGAAATCCCTCAAACGTGTTCATTAAACAAGACAAATTATTGAATATAAATACATTTTTCTTAAAAGACTTTGGCAAATATTAAGTATCTTGCAATCGCCTAAGATGTACTACAGGCAAAATGTATGTTCTGCCTAAAATGTGGAAGACATTTAATTGCGTGGGGTTTGAAGATTGGTGAAGCACGAGACATATGTCTACAAACTGCTCTGCCAATACCACGCGCCTTTGTAACCATGTGAGTTAACTGGTTGTAGGGGCAGTCGCGTATCTCAGTGGATATAAATTAATAAACACACAGCTGACACCTCAGTCGGTAAACTCATGTCGCGCAAGGAAATCATCCTGCAGTCGACGATGATCCTGGTGTTGCATATTAACAACTCCTACACAAATATTCTGTGTATGTAATTTTTAACTAATTCGCGATTATTTTTCCTTATTTTTGGTGCCTCATTCGCTACTGCTTTATCAATTGCTCCATATTATACTTCACCAATGTAGTGTCTATAATGAGACATCCTCAGACTATCAAGTACTCACTTGCTTCATTTAACTGTAAGTAAGTAAAAATCTTCAAACGCTTTTCTGCTCCCTACTGAATTTAAACTTGCCAAAGATAAACCTCCAACGCACCAAAAACACTGAAAGGGAAATATTTATACAGTTTTTCTTTCACAACCATGTAGATGTTTGCAGACCCAAACGTGTCAGCATAGACTTCAATTTAGTTATTGGAAGTGGTACAATCGCATGGAATAAAATGAGGGGATGCTGTAAAGGAAAAGAGTTGG